GCAGGATCTGCAGGGTCAAAATGTGTCTTCTTGAGAGACGGGACTACTAGTCAGAGGCGGACAGTAACTAAGTAAATTTACTTGAGTATTGTACTTAAGTTTACTCTTTTAGTATCGGTACTTTACTTGAGTATTATTTTTTCAGCTGCTGAAGTATTATTTATAGCAGTCAGCTGCTGCTGTTGCTATATAAATAAGCTAAACTTAGGGAAGTCGTGGCCTAATGGTTAGAGAGTCGGACTCATAACCCAAAGGTTGTGGGTTTGAGGTGGGGGGAGTGAATATACAGCGCTCTCTGCCACCTTCAATACCACGACTGAGGTGCCCTTGAGCAAGGCACTGAACCCCCAACTGCTCCCCGGGCGCTGCAGCAAAAATGACTGCCCACTGCTCCGTGCGTGTGCGTGTGCGTGTGCGTGTGCACTTTGGATGGGTTAAATGCAGAGCACTAATTCCAAGTATGGGTCACCATACTTGGCCACATTTCACTTGAAACATGTATGTTTCCGTATGAATCACATTGTACAAAACAAATCATTAATTCGTACTCTTGAGGTTGTATAAATTATCAGTATAAGCATGCATGGATTTAAAGGATTAGTTCACTTCCAGAATAAAAATGATCCTTTTCTGATAATTTATTCACCCCCCATGTCATTCAAGATTCAATACGAAAGGTTTTTGAGGAAAACATTCCAGGATTTTTCTCCATATAGTTGACTTCAATGGGAGCCAATGGGTTGAAGGTCTAAACTGCAATTTCAATGCAGCTTCAAAGGGCTCTGCATGATCCCAGCCGAGGAATAAGGCTCTTATTGTTTTCTTTAAAAATATATATATACTTTTTAACCACAAATGCTCATCTTGCACAAGCTCAATTTCACACATTACTTGGGCATGTTGGAAAATGTATCTGCAACTGAAGAAAGAAATGCATATCTTGGATGACATGGGGGTGAGTAAATTATCAGGAAATTTTCATTCTGGAAGTGAACTAATCCTTTAACCAAAACAAGAGATGAAGTGAGTAATTTCAGTCCCAGAACCATGCTCTGATGGCAATCCATATCTATTATTTTGGCAAATTAGTGTCTAATTCATGAATCTCTTTTATATATTTTCATATGATCTTATGTCCTTTTGATGGTTAGGTTTATGGGTGTAGTTAGGAGTGGAACTTCTTGCTTACTTCTCTGGTAATTTCAATAAATTGCATTGTACAAATTTGTACAAAATCATTCATTCATACTCCATTGTGGTTTCCAGTTGGTTGTAAGGACAAAGCAAAACAAGAGGTGAAGTAATTTCAGACCCAGAAGCATCACACTCTCATGGCAATCAATTTTTCATTTTGGTGAACTGGTGGCTATAATTCATATGAATTTGTAGGTTCCCTTTCGTGGAACTTCGAACTGCGTCCTCTAGGGGTCGAAAAAAAAAATGTGTCTAAGAAAAGTCTTTAAGATAAAATAACAGCATGACACAAGAATACAGTCTCGTCATCTAAATTAGAACTGATCAATAGTTCACGTGTTATGAGTCAATGAGCTAAAGATGTTAGGGAAAAGCGTAAAGTAGATTTATGTTCTAGTACTAATATAGAAGTTAAATAGTAGAAATATAATTGTTGTGCATCAAGCTCCTCACCGCCCAAACGGTTACGTTTACCGGTTATATAAGTTCATTAAAATTGTGTATATTCGGGGTTGGAGGTATGCTCTTTTAATTTATTTAAACCGGTTTTAGTTTGCCGTGAAACTAACCTGTAGTCTAGACAGTTAGGCGAAACCGGGTAACGTTAAGTTCATTCATTTCCGCTTTTCTAGAAATGCTAACTGAATTTCCTTAACCGCATTCAAAGGGTTACTTTTGAGAATTGTTTTATACTTTTTTTCCCCCATTGCGTTATGAACTGTCGTTAATACTGTATGATCTGTATCTTTATCTTTAATGCAACCGTCACAAAAATGTTGGGAATTAGGAACGATATTTGTGAAAATAGTTATAAGATTGCCGAAGAAATAACATGCCGAGACTTAAGCTTGTTTGCAAGTCTGAACTAATGGGCGTTTGTAAGAGGAATGTCACTGAAACGTGTCAGGTCTTGAGTTATCTTGCTAAATTCCTGTGAAGCGAATAAGCGGTTTCCAGTTCGTGACTCTTTGGGTGCGTTCGACTTCATGCAGCACTGCGCAGATCGATCGCAATCTGGCTTGAAGCAGTGCATGCCGGTTAGTAATTTTGTCTGACTTGAGACGGCGCCGATGCCACGTCACTGTCACGTGTGGCATCAAAGCACCGCGAGAGCAGCCGGCTGACACACTAGACTTTGAACGTGCGAAATTTTTTATTTTAAAATGATTCTGAAAAATAAAATGCGACGGTAGTGACGTCATGGCTGTCGCCGGGCCAAACAAGTTGGTGTTTTTTCAATGTAGGCTTCAGACACGGGTCACGACGAGGCGTTCCCCATAGCGACCCCTAGAGGACGCAGTGTCTCGTTCCCCTCAGGGAACCATGGTTACATAAGTAACCCGAGACGATTTATTTTGTCCAATATTCATAAAATTTTCATACAACATGCTTACATCCCACTGATGGTCCTTCATGCTTACTTTTTTCTAAAAATGGCATGTTTCTGTATGAATCACTTCGTACAAATTCATACAAAATCTCCACCTTGTAAAATTGAAACATTTTCTAATGTGATCGGGTTGGCCAGAACTGCAAAACTAATATAAAAAAGTATTCACCCTGTCTGCCATTAGTCATCAAACAGATCCCGTCTAAAAACGCATTCCATTGGTTGAACTAATGTTGCTAAACTGAGCATGATTGGGAGGCTGAAAGGGCCATTAAAATACTGATTCTGAAATTGTGCCACTTGGTAAAGCATTGTTTTGTGTAAACGTTGTTCATTAAAAGAACTGCTTTGTATTGTATACAGTGTCATTAACATTGAATTGTCTGAGAAGTAGCCGTCATTCCGGTGTGTTTGTGTGTAGTAAATGAGCACTCATTGCTAGATAATGCATATTTAGAGAGGCAAACAGCTGTGGGTTATTTATATTATGAGCTCAGAGGATGGTTAACCCAAGCTTGCATTCATTCTAGTCCTTTTGTTATTGCCTTTATAGGCCATATTGTATTTTATGGGAAATTGTAACCAGCGTTACTATGTCTTTCTTTTATGGCTGTCACGCAACAATATATTCTTCTTTTTTTATGTGGTAGAAAATAGAGAAGAGTGTTGCCTAGAGGTGACACCATGGTCACATGCTTGGGGTTCATGGCAGACAACAAATGAAAAATATTAGGTCCCCCCTCTCAGTCGGTGTCCTGTCAACCAAACATGACCTAATCCTCACTAACTATGGAAAACTACTACACATGATATAATTAAGGGGAAAAAAATACTGTGTGTTCCGTTTGTTCCCTGTCCAGACATGTACAAATCAATACATTTTAATTTGTCATGCATGGATTATGTAATAGCATGGAGGTTGTTATTTCATTATTTCTCCTTGTTTGTTTTCCTTTAATCATGCTCATTCACATGCAGAGACGGCCATTCCAACGTGATCCCCTTCATATTATTCAAGGATTCCTGTCGGCTTGGTCACAATCTGGCCAATCAAATGAGAATGGCGCAGAGACTTTCTTGACAATAGTGCATGAGTCTATGTTGTGATAATCCAATGCTCTGATATAATAATGCATCAAACAATAAAGCTGGTGGAATCTGGCTGCTCAGCGGTCTTTTGCAGGCTTGGTGGGACTAGCATACCTTCCCCATGTGTTCAGGGTCGAGTGGAATTTTTGTGCCGCATTCCTCTTGCTAAAGCATGAACCAAATGTTGAGAAGCCCAAGGCTGAATTTCAATGGGGCTGTTGTTGCAAGTTCAACAGTGTTTGAGTCTTTAAGGTACATTCCAAACGGGTCTTTTAAGATGACCTAAATAACTTTCATACAGGTCTCAACAAGTGAATACCTGTAAAAAAAAAAAATGTGTCTAAGAAAAGTCTTTAAGATAAAATAACAGCATGACACAAGAATACAGTCTCGTCATCTAAATTAGAACTGATCAATAGTTCACGTGTTATGAGTCAATGAGCTAAAGATGTTACTCTGACTGATAGTTTTAATAGAACACCTGTACTTTCATTGTCTGCTATTTTAAGCATATCAGTCAACTGTTTACTTAATTTAGAACTTTATTACTAGACCTGTCAGCCAGAGAAACAAAGATTAGCACGTCGATCACAGATCTTTCTGGAGTTTCACTGAGAAGATGCTTCTCGGTATTTACTTTCATCATGCTCTAGGAAGAGGGTGTCAATGTGCTACATCTCTTAATCACAGTTAGGCTACTTAGCTACACCAAACAAGTAAACATTGTGTCTCACAACACAGGTTATAATTATAGGCTTTCAGGGGGAAAGTGTGGGAAAAGCTTGCTTTCGTATTGGGCTTTTCCCAGTGTTTACTATTTCTACATAAGCATTCTAATGTTAATTAGGGCAATCAAAGAATTAGTCTCAGTGAAAGTGTCATTTTGATAGTTTCTGTGTGTGCTATTCTGGGGAAACAAAACATTGTCAATATCCCTTTTTTAATAGGGAATCAGAAAAGATGAAAATGACAGAAGAAATGTCAAAGCAAAAGTAAAATAATAATGAAATAATAGTATTTTATATTTTATGGTAGGCCTAATATGTTTACCTTTGTCATCGAGTGCTTAATGTATTATGAAAAATAATATAAATCATGACCATAATTAATTATTTTTCTTTTATTATTCATATTATTGTGTTTAGAACAAACTGAGCTAAAATAGCCGTTCTTTCCATATGGCCGCTGTAATTTGACACCGTGTCCACTGTCACCCCTCGGCTTTGACTCATAGTAGGAGGTCCTTAGAACTGACTGGCAAATGATTGGACAAGTACATGTAAATCCGATACAAATGCCCCGCCTCCTATTTTAAAGATGAGAGGAATTTTCCATTCAAACGTTCATTCAAAGTTCCTCGTCGTGGAAGGTTCTAGAATACGGAATCTCATTAAAATATTTGAACGATTGCTGCTCATTTTCTGAGGTAAGTGTTTAGTTTGGGGAAAAGCGTAAAGTAGATTTATGTTCTAGTACTAATATAGAAGTTAAATAGTAGAAATATAATTGTTGTGCATCAAGCTCCTCACCGCCCAAACGGTTACGTTTACCGGTTATATAAGTTCATTAAAATTGTGTATATTCGGGGTTGGAGGTATGCTCTTTTAATTTATTTAAACCGGTTTTAGTTTGCCGTGAAACTAACCTGTAGTCTAGACAGTTAGGCGAAACCGGGTAACGTTAAGTTCATTCATTTCCGCTTTTCTAGAAATGCTAACTGAATTTCCTTAACCGCATTCAAAGGGTTACTTTTGAGAATTGTTTTATACTTTTTTTCCCCCATTGCGTTATGAACTGTCGTTAATACTGTATTATCTGTATCTTTATCTTTAATGCAACCGTCACAAAAATGTTGGGAATTAGGAACGATATTTGTGAAAATAGTTATAAGATTGCCGAAGAAATAACATGCCGAGACTTAAGCTTGTTTGCAAGTCTGAACTAATGGGCGTTTGTAAGAGGAATGTCACTGAAACGTGTCAGGTCTTGAGTTATCTTGCTAAATTCCTGTGAAGCGAATAAGCGGTTTCCAGTTCGTGACTCTTTGGGTGCGTTCGACTTCATGCAGCACTGCGCAGATCGATCGCAATCTGGCTTGAAGCAGTGCATGCCGGTTAGTAATTTTGTCTGACTTGAGACGGCGCCGATGCCACGTCACTGTCACGTGTGGCATCAAAGCACCGCGAGAGCAGCCGGCTGACACACTAGACTTTGAACGTGCGAAATTTTTTATTTTAAAATGATTCTGAAAAATAAAATGACAAACAACATTAAGTAATTTAATAATAATACACTTGTGTATAGGAATTTTATTGTTCTCGCGCTCTCTCTCTCTCTATATCGTCTGTTCCTGTTTCTATTGACACCGCAAACCATGCAGCTTCTTTTTTTATTTTATTTTTATAATCTTTTAAAGATGTATTCTATAAAATAGGACGCTGCACTACGGCTAAAATTAGCGCTTCCTCCATTTTTGAATTTCTGTACAGAGAGGTCACACAGTGACGTATCGATCTTCTACTGGTCACACGTCTTCACGTGATGCGAATTCGCAGGTCAGAGTTCACCAAACTTTGGAACGCAGTGAAAGTTTTCGTTTGAGCTTGCGTTTCCGGTCTTACGCAGTCGCATGCGTATGAATGGAAGTCAGTGGAACGGAAAGTGCAGTGTGACCGCCCCTTGACTGTTGACCATAGACTGTATAAAAACATGGACGTAGTGTCCGTGATGTCACCCGTAGGTTCCTGAAGAGGTTTTTGAAGCTCAAAAGTGGGCAGAGCCAGCCGTCGCCATCTTGGCAGCGCGTCACTCCCGGATAATCGAAAATGGGCAAAGAGGCGGGAGCTGGCTGCTGGAACCACGCCCACCTAGCTCGACGGTGGTGACCGCAGCGGCAATCCACCTGTCACTCAAGTGGCCTCGCCCTTAATTATGCAGAACTTTAAGGCTTAATATAATTTAAACGGATGAGTTATAAAAAAAGTTCACTCCCCTCACAGTTGTCATGAAGGGCAAAATTAGCTATATAGACCAAAATAATTTTTTGAACCAGGCTGTAAACACGTTTTTTTTTCTGCTGTAAAGTTGGGCATTTTAACATGGGGAGTCTATGGGATTGACTCCCTTTTGCAGCCAGCCTCTAGCGGCCAGTTGACGAATTACAGTTTAAGTCACTTCCTTTTTGGCTTCACGAGAGAGAGCAGGAGGTTGCCGCTCGGTTCAAAGTCTAGTGTGACCGCCCCTTCAGCCAGCGCAGTTTCTCCAGAGCGGCTGCAGGGCCAGATTCACCGCATGACAACTGTCACGTGTGTTTCGGGTGTATTCTAACCTTTTCAATTCCAATAATAGCCATGACAAATATTGCATTTAATTCACTTCATCTGTGATAGAGTATGCAAACACCACGCGAGCGTCACTAACTGGAGCAGAAAGTGTCCGGCACGGCTCCGTTTTCAACTCCGCCCCCGACTGCAAGCGGCTACTCTCGTTGACTGCCGTCTGTAGCCGTGCTTCAAGTCGAACGCACCTAATCTCTACTCGGCAGACCAAAGAAAGGCAAACCTACGGTGGCTGAGAAGTGCTAAACAAATCACAGGTCTGAAAACAAAATAACAAATTACAAACGCAAATGCAAGTCTAAAAAACGAAATAAGTCAGAAAACACAACGACAAATCAGACAAACCGGAAGAGGTAGGTATAGTTTGAGACAGCGCCATTGGTTTGGGATTACTCAACGCTGACTGGACGAGACATCTCTCAATCAACTTGTACAGGGAAGAACCAGCCGAAGAACAGCAGAGTCGTAGTAGAAAGTTCGGAGATGGTATTAAAGTAGCTCAGTCTAAATGTATTGTATGAATTGCCTTTACTATGGAATAAAAAATAGGGGGCGTCTATTTACATTTAGTTAAAAGTGGCTCTAAATCATCAGCTCCAGCGGTGTGTGTCGTTGGCTTTTTGACGCGATCGACCCGGGTTCGATCCCGCCTTTTGCCAAACTTTTTTTCCTCCCTTTTAAAATCTCGTATCACATCGTGAAGGCATTTATTTTCAATAAAAATTAAGAAAATAATAAAAAAAGTTGAAAAAGTATCGGGTAGGGTTAGGGTAGGTCTTTATTGGACTCTGCTGTTTTTCGGCTGGTTCTTCCTATATACTTTGATTGACAGATGTCTCGTCCAGTCAGCGGTGCGTAATCCCAAACCAATGGCGCTGTCTAAAGCTATACTTACCTCTTCCGGTTTGTCTGATTTGTCGTTGTGTTTTCTGACTCGTTATAATGTTTTCTGAATTATTTAGTTTTTTAGACTTGCATTTGTGTTTGTAATTTGTTATTTTGTTTTCAGAATTGTGATTTGTTTAGCACTTCTCAGCCACCGTACAAACCCCCTGACTGAACACATGCGTACAGGCGTAGTCTTACACATTAGCCGGAAGTGAGTCAGTCTCATTTGACTTTATGGCTCAGTGTTTTGGCCGGTGGATTAAAATGTCATGTGATGCGTAGGAAGAGCTTAATGGCAGTGAGGTGCAAGTTATTTATTACGGTTGTAGAGTACATGTAGACAGGCTTATATCAGTCAGTCAACATTGATCACTGTGTCTTTACTCCAGGTCTCTTGCGCTCGAGGTCTGAACTTCCTTTACTGATCACTGCAAGAAGCTCTCATCAAATTCAACCTTCATCTCATTCCTGAATTCCTCACTTCAAAATGTCTCAGCAAATCAGGTACGGGAGATTATAAATCATTAATTAATTATATTTGTTTTTGGGTGATGTAATTTTTTTTTGGTTCTTCTGTTGAATGTCCTTGTACATGTAACTTTTTGTTAATAGTTAAGTGTTCAAAAAAGTATACACTCACACACTTTTAGGAATTTTAAGGTCCTTTTGATATTAAGCTAGCAAAAGTTCTCTTGAAATTCTTTATATGTATGCATGCATGCATGTGTGTTTTTAAAAAAAAAAAAAAAAAAAATTTTATTCGTTTCGATTCATTTTTTACTTTTTCCCCCTCACCTCTAGCCTCCCTGCCAAACTGATTAATGGTGGCATTGCTGGCATCGTTGGGGTCACTTGCGTGTTTCCCATCGATTTGGCCAAGACCAGACTCCAGAATCAGAGACAAGGCCAGCAAGTCTACAAGAGCATGTAAGGGCTCTCCACTACTTTCCTTTAAACTTCTCAATGCTTCATTCCTGTAACATTTACATTCTATTTTAATTCTCACACACTATTATTAGATACTCCTGCTTGTTTCATGGCTGTGTGTCATTCCTCACTTTGATCTGATTAGCCATGCATTGGTAGTTAATCCTAGTGGAATGTGTGATGCATGGTCAGGCATTAGTTTCCGCCTGACATGACGGTTCAGCCGCTATGGTCACTACAAAGCCTTATAAGGATTGAGGCCAGACCATGTCGCATGCCTGATGTAAACTCATACTGAGCATACCACACGTGGCTTTTGTTGCTAATACAGGGTAATTTGTTAAAGCAGAAGTAGGCTGACCCATGTTAACACAACTCTGTGCGCCTTTAGGATTGACTGCCTTATCAAAACTGTGCGATCTGAGGGATACTTTGGCATGTATAGAGGTAAGATGCACTCTTTTATTTATTCATAAGTGATTTAATGTATAATTATACTCTATTTAGATTAGTATAGCCTCTTATATGGCATGATGGGTACACCTGAATAGACTTGAGGAATCCAGTCCGTATGACTTTGGAGAATGAACTAGAATAGCCTGGCTGGGGGTAGTTAAATTCAAACGAATAATTTTTTGCTATTTGTAGCACTGAAATGGCAATATTTTCTGAAAACAAAATAACAAATTACAAACGCAAATGCAAGTCTAAAAAACGAAATAAGTCAGAAAACACAACGACAAATCAGACAAACCGGAAGAGGTAGGTATAGTTTGAGACAGCGCCATTGGTTTGGGATTACTCAACGCTGACTGGACGAGACATCTCTCAATCAACTTGTACAGGGAAGAACCAGCCGAAGAACAGCAGAGTCGTAGTAGAAAGTTCGGAGATGGTATTAAAGTAGCTCAGTCTAAATGTATTGTATGAATTGCCTTTACTATGGAATAAAAAATAGGGGGCGTCTATTTACATTTAGTTAAAAGTGGCTCTAAATCATCAGCTCCAGCGGTGTGTGTCGTTGGCTTTTTGACGCGATCGACCCGGGTTCGATCCCGCCTTTTGCCAAACTTTTTTTCCTCCCTTTTAAAATCTCGTATCACATCGTGAAGGCATTTATTTTCAATAAAAATTAAGAAAATAATAAAAAAAGTTGAAAAAGTATCGGGTAGGGTTAGGGTAGGTCTTTATTGGACTCTGCTGTTTTTCGGCTGGTTCTTCCTATATACTTTGATTGACAGATGTCTCGTCCAGTCAGCGGTGCGTAATCCCAAACCAATGGCGCTGTCTAAAGCTATACTTACCTCTTCCGGTTTGTCTGATTTGTCGTTGTGTTTTCTGACTCGTTATAATGTTTTCTGAATTATTTAGTTTTTTAGACTTGCATTTGTGTTTGTAATTTGTTATTTTGTTTTCAGAATTGTGATTTGTTTAGCACTTCTCAGCCACCGTACAAACCCCCTGACTGAACACATGCGTACAGGCGTAGTCTTACACATTAGCCGGAAGTGAGTCAGTCTCATTTGACTTTATGGCTCAGTGTTTTGGCCGGTGGATTAAAATGTCATGTGATGCGTAGGAAGAGCTTAATGGCAGTGAGGTGCAAGTTATTTATTACGGTTGTAGAGTACATGTAGACAGGCTTATATCAGTCAGTCAACATTGATCACTGTGTCTTTACTCCAGGTCTCTTGCGCTCGAGGTCTGAACTTCCTTTACTGATCACTGCAAGAAGCTCTCATCAAATTCAACCTTCATCTCATTCCTGAATTCCTCACTTCAAAATGTCTCAGCAAATCAGGTACGGGAGATTATAAATCATTAATTAATTATATTTGTTTTTGGGTGATGTAATTTTTTTTTGGTTCTTCTGTTGAATGTCCTTGTACATGTAACTTTTTGTTAATAGTTAAGTGTTCAAAAAAGTATACACTCACACACTTTTAGGAATTTTAAGGTCCTTTTGATATTAAGCTAGCAAAAGTTCTCTTGAAATTCTTTATATGTATGCATGCATGCATGTGTGTTTTTAAAAAAAAAAAAAAAAAAATTTTATTCGTTTCGATTCATTTTTTACTTTTTCCCCCTCACCTCTAGCCTCCCTGCCAAACTGATTAATGGTGGCATTGCTGGCATCGTTGGGGTCACTTGCGTGTTTCCCATCGATTTGGCCAAGACCAGACTCCAGAATCAGAGACAAGGCCAGCAAGTCTACAAGAGCATGTAAGGGCTCTCCACTACTTTCCTTTAAACTTCTCAATGCTTCATTCCTGTAACATTTACATTCTATTTTAATTCTCACACACTATTATTAGATACTCCTGCTTGTTTCATGGCTGTGTGTCATTCCTCACTTTGATCTGATTAGCCATGCATTGGTAGTTAATCCTAGTGGAATGTGTGATGCATGGTCAGGCATTAGTTTCCGCCTGACATGACGGTTCAGCCGCTATGGTCACTACAAAGCCTTATAAGGATTGAGGCCAGACCATGTCGCATGCCTGATGTAAACTCATACTGAGCATACCACACGTGGCTTTTGTTGCTAATACAGGGTAATTTGTTAAAGCAGAAGTAGGCTGACCCATGTTAACACAACTCTGTGCGCCTTTAGGATTGACTGCCTTATCAAAACTGTGCGATCTGAGGGATACTTTGGCATGTATAGAGGTAAGATTCACTCTTTTATTTATTCATAAGTGATTTAATGTATAATTATACTCTATTTAGATTAGTATAGCCTCTTATATGGCATGATGGGTACACCTGAATAGACTTGAGGAATCCAGTCCGTATGACTTTGGAGAATGAACTAGAATAGCCTGGCTGGGGGTAGTTAAATTCAAACGAATAATTTTTTGCTATTTGTAGCACTGAAATGGCAATATTTAAGCACTTTCCCAATGTATAAAGAATTCTTAGTTCAACTTTCTTTTTTTTTTTTTTACTGTTCAGACTACACGTTGTGTTGGTAAATGGCCACAATGACAGCCTAGAGTAGTACATAACCCTTTATTTTTAACCCTCGGATGCATTGCGTGCACTTATAGTGGCATTTTAACCATTTATATCCAAACCACCTTGGGGTGATTATTTGACCTTCAGACATAATTCTACATGACTGTGCTTATTCTTGACAGCATATCTTGCATAAGTAGCTATAATATTTACCCATTATATTTAACCATTAGCTTATAATGTTAATGGATCAATCTCTCAAAATACTTATTTTAAATTCAAGAAAATTATGTACTCAAATAAGTAGGACATGGTTTTATGGTGTTTTAAAGTATGAAGAAACTTTTTTTTATTATTTTTTTGATTTAATAATTAATGCATCAGAGGGTTACTTTTAAATGACGCAAATCAAACATGTTGTAATTACTACATTTGTTAGATCGGTTGTTTGGCTTCAGTTATTCAGTAGACCAATATAAGTATCCTTGAAGAGTGTTATCTGTAGAGTTTGGAGGAGATTGGAGTCGGTGTTTTGTGCCGGGTCTCCATTTCTGTGAGGAATGCTGTTGTTTGCATCTGTGTTTTTCATGTTACAGACATGGGTCCCCGCTGGGATAGTGAAGGCTAGCCGATAAGGCGCAGCCACGCTGGAGGCAAATCATTTATCATGGTTCTTACTCACACTGCTCTATTACAATTAGGCACCAATTTTTGTTTTATTTATACATAATTGTTGAATTTTGATATTTACTTTTTTGCTTGTTTTTTTTCTCATCCACTTTCTTCACTGTCCTTGCTCTTGTATCATTCAGTCAGTACTAACCCATCTTGCCATGTTCTGTTAACATCTAGAAAGTTTTGTTGGATATTCATCATCATCACTTACGCTCATTATCTGCTTTGTCTTTTGTATTATAAAGTTATTTTTTTACATTATAAATAATATTTGGAGCTGTTGTGACCTCACATCAGATGACTAATATTAAAACTACAGTTTGCACGTGCAACACATCAAAACTACACAAAGCGGTCTTTAATATAAGCAGCTGCTTGGAGAATAGGCTGTATTTCTCTCTGTTGTTTGCAGATTAATCACTGCATAAACAGCACAGCAAAATCTACCTGCCGATACATTTCTCTTCTATTATTTACCGTGATACTGCACAACCCTAATGTCACTCTCTTTCTGGAATGTGTCTGCATTCATTTTTGTTTCACTACATTTATCTGAATATTCTATCCTATTTTTCTGTCCTCTCTATTTGTTTATATAACTAGTTAATTTTTTGGTTTTGTTCACATTATGTAAAATCCCCCTCCATCATCAGCTCACAGTTCTCATAAGCTTTGCTTATAATCTTAGTCTGTTAGTAGCATTTTTATCTCTTTAAATGGTATTTGATATGGTCATGTTGTAGATTTTATCTCTGGTTTGATGGTGGTGGGGAATGTGTTTGCTGATCTGTGATCATTTGGGGTGTAGTTTTTCTTTAACCCTCTGTTTGTTTGTCTTTTAGGCGCTGCGGTTAATCTTACCCTGGTCACTCCTGAGAAGGCCATCAAACTGGCTGCCAATGACTTCTTCCGGTGCCACCTTTCCAAAGATGGGTACGTTAGCTACTGCTGCACTTATTAGTGCTTGTTCAAATGCCGTTCTTATAAAATATACATCTATAATCACGTCCTTGTTTGTTACAGGAGAGGGCTGACTGTATTTAGAGAGATGTTGGCTGGATGTGCTGCGGGCATGTGCCAGGTTATCATCACTACTCCTATGGAGATGCTGAAGATTCAACTACAGGATGCTGGGAGACTAGGTAGGTTTCCTTTTTGCGCTTAAAGAAGCGATAAAATCTAGCCTATTGAGTATTCTTGATTCTATTGGTCAGTTGTCATTTGGCATCAATGTTTGTTGGGGTTGTTTTGCAATATTATGAGTACAGTGTAGTTGTATTACTCACTCAGTCATTTAGCTGTAGTAACAATTTTCCGACCATCTTCACAGCCACTCAGCAGAGAAAACCATGCATCATTCCTCCCAATAGACTGGCGACCACAAACACAGTGTTGAGTCGCTCCTACAATGTGGTGCCCAACACCTCACCTCACCCATCTGCCACCCAGATCGCAAGAGAGTTACTGCACACTCAAGGCATTCAGGGGCTCTACAAAGGCCTTGGTGCAACACTATTGAGGTAATGCGTTGAGAGAATTTTTACTGTAACGACACTAAATGCAAACATTCATAGTAATGAGACTATAAATTACCTTTGTTTTTTGTTTTTCTCTTATTCAGAGATGTACCTTTCTCGGTCATTTACTTCCCTCTCTTTGCAAATTTGAACAAGCTGGGTAAGCCCACCCCTGATGAGGCTGCACCATTTTATTGGTCATTCATCTCTGGATGTGTCGCAGGCTCCACAGCTGCTGTTGCCGTTAACCCATGTGATGGTAAAAGTTGTTTTTGGTCCTCTTTAGCCCTTTTTCACCTTTACACCTTTTAAAAAATGCATGTGCTCACCATTTTTTATCTTATTTGGCAGTGGTTAAGACCAGGCTGCAGTCTCTAAGCAAAGGAGCCAACGAGGAAACCTACAGTGGCATAATTGACTGTTTCGGGTAATGCATTAGTCCTATAATGTGTTTTAAATGTTATGATTTAACTGATTTGTAATTCTGGAATGTGAGTATATCATCTACAGTGTGTGACCTTTGCTTGTTTTTTCATTCTTACAGCAAGATCATGAAGCGAGAAGGGCCATCAGCTTTCCTGAAGGGAGCATGCTGCAGGGCTCTAGTCATCGCGCCACTGTTCGGTATCGTACAGGTCATGTACTTCATCGGCGTGGGAGAGTTTATCATGAGCCAGTCCTCCCTAAAGCTAATCTCTGACTGAACAGACCCCAGTACCTCTCAAGAGTGTGGCAGCTACACAACCAACTGTACATTTACAAGAGAAGATAAACATTAATCAAGATGGTAAAGTTGTCGAGAGAACGACAACTTCTACTCTGGTTAAGTTACTGTGAGTTTTTTCCAGCCTTACCACACTTCCTCTATGGTTTACAGGCTTATTTGATGGGCTGTGGCCAGCGTTTTGCACTTATTGGTAAGGATATGTCTGGAGGAGAGCGCTTGACGTGCTTACGTTTTCTTGAAGCATATGTGAAGGTTTCCCCTCAATGAGGGAGACTGGTGTCACTGTAATGACACTGTTTTTCTTGACACTTTTTTTCATCCATCTACAATTCTTTTTGTATTAAATTTCTCTATTTTTTGTTTTTCCTACTCCGAATTCATTTATTTCTGTTCCTGTCACTGTTTTCAGTGTCTAAACAATTGGGTTACTTTTGAAGCTTTCAAACCTTGTAACTCTAAATTGTTCATCGTTTTAGGGAATGCCATTGACTTTCATTCCGTTTCGTTCCATTAGATGCACATCGTGGTCCATTTCAGTTTCTGAGCTGATTTTGGTGAAGGTACACAAGGTGCAGTCTAAAATGAAGTATGCAATGGCTACCTAAAACAGCCTAATATTTGATGCATATCGTATTTATGCAATTATTTAAGACATAAGGATATGTCTGGAGGAGAGCGCTTGACGTGCTTACGTTTTCTTGAAGCATATGTGAAGGTTTCCCCTCAATGAGGGAGACTGGTGTCACTGTAATGACACTGTTTTTCTTGACACTTTTTTTCATCCATCTACAATTCTTTTTGTATTAAATTTCTCTATTTTTTGTTTTTCCTACTCCGAATTCATTTATTTCTGTTCCTGTCACTGTTTTCAGTGTCTAAACAATTGGGTTACTTTTGAAGCTTTCAAACCTTGTAACTCTAAATTGTTCATCGTTTTAGGGAATGCCATTGACTTTCATTCCGTTTCGTTCCATTAGATGCACATCGTGGTCCATTTCAGTTTCTGAGCTGATTTTGGTGAAGGTACACAAGGTGCAGTCTAAAATTAAGTATGCAATGGCTACCTAAAACAGCCTAATATTTGATGCATATCGTATTTATGCAATTATTTAAGACGTGCGTTTATTTTTCTTTTCTGTTACATGGACCAGCATGTATTACAACTGTAGCTTCCAGGGATTTCTGATCCCAGAGCGTAGGTCATTATTTTCAGGTCATGATGTGTTTGCCTTAATTAACATGAAAGACAAACTCTTCACAAAGTTTGAGGAACCTGGCCTTGAGCAAAAGGCTGTATGTTTCAGTGCTGGGATTGTTTGATGACAGTATTAACATCTTCCTACAATGACACCTCAATGCAACATGTATTAATTTCTGTTTAATGCAATGGTCTACTAATATTCAACATTACAAAAATGAATAAAAATAAATGAAATGTTTATTTGTGTGAGCGCTGTTTTAATGTTGCTCAGGCTTTCATGCCCTATGACCATAGTTTCTTGTTTCAAAGCCATTTACATGCAACACGATGCTATGAAACAGTAAAACAAAATAAAAAAATTTACTTGAGCAACTCCAAAAATGTGCATATTGTAATTGCAAACATGTTTATGATGCAGCTTCGTCTGTTATAAAGGCACATAGAACAATAAAACTAGTGGGTCACATTCCTGAACAGACCTGCAAAAGCTAGAAAGAGGAAATGGTTGAAGATTTCAGACATGTTTTTACAATTTTACAGCGGTATTGTTGATCTCCCTAAAAACTGGGGTTTGAACTTTACAGATTCAAAATCAGCCAAGTAAGGAAAGTAATGTATGCATTAACCAGATTAAAAAAAGAAAAGGAAAAGATTAAACCAGTGAGACTTGAAAAAGTCAACATGAATCAAACAATTTTAAGGTTTTTATTGTCTGGAACACGGAGGTTGAAAGTTGAGTTTCCTCCCGTTTTTCAACTCTTGCTATTATTGCTGCAATCGTTATTATATTACTATTAATCAACATTAAATTACTAGCAATATTTAAAAAATGTGGCCTACGATAGTAGCCTAAACTGATGTTTTTTTTTGGTTAATATTAACCAATAGCACATAGGAGCAAGGTCAAAAAGTTGTTTCAGAGAAAAAAGTTAACTTTTTATAAAATTATGAAGCTAATTGTTTGGAAAACCATGCATTGATGAACCTTTCACTATAAAACTTGAAATGTTATGACATTAAGAGTTCATGTTGACTTTGTTGACTCAATCCGCTTCTCGGCTTCATTTTTCAAAGCAAAATTACAATAGCCAAATATTAATAACCAGCAAAACACAAACATATGACCCATTATCTATTAGCACAAAAACCTGGTCTAGTTCACACAATAAATAACATTTTTAAAAAAACATGAAAAGTAGTTGATCAGTGAGGCAGCAGAGAGCTTATTTACATCAGCAAGTAAATGTCCAGTTCCCTGTGAAAGTCTGAACTGAAGACTATTAAAGGAGATCAAGTTTGAAAAAAGCAAGACGTACACTGTGAATTTTCCCCTTGTGATGATGGTTCAGTAATAAAGACAAAATAAATGGAAAGGTTAATGCGGTTACAGTAGCAGTCCATGCAGTGGAGGTCATCATCAAACAATGCAAGTAACAGAAACAATCAGAGATAGAACGCTGTTCACAAAACAGTACCACAAGACCCACACTGCCTCATGGGAGCTCCTCCACCCGTTTCCCGAGCCTGAATGTGATGGTCTGATGAGGTCAAAGACGGCAGGCTTTGAAACAGTCCAACTGGGTGAGAGGGGAACCGCGAGGAACCTAAATAACTTCTCTGCTGTTCCGAATGGCGCAGCATAGAACCATGCTGAAGATCATGCCAATTATCTGCCAAAACAGAGGGAATGTTCAAATGTTAAATATGACAAATATAGGCTACAGTGTTCCCAAAAAGCATTTGAACATTTAAGCCACACGTACATATTAAGGTCACTGCATTATAAAATATCAAATCAAGTCTCATTAATATTAAAGATAACACATGCACATTTTGTATATACTTTTCCACAAATATATACACACACACACACTTAAGATACCAAGATATAATATCCTTTAATATCTTAATTTTCTGTAAAGCTGAAACAATGCACTTTGAAAATCACTATACAAATAAATTTGACCAGATTTTTCAAGCACATTTCACAAAAAGTTTGTACACATTTTGTTACCATAATTCCAGCAATGCCGATGCCAACATATCCGATTATGAAGAGTTTTTCGTTGAAGAAGTCTTCTATAGCTGTGTTACAATCCTTGAAAACATTTCAAAAGAACATTCGTTGAGTGTGGCAAACTGATGTAGTGTGATAATGTCACAACAACAGCATACATGCACAACATCGGTTCAGTTCTACTGATTAGAAAATGAATATCTCTGGCTCTGAAATCTGATTGGATGAACCACTATCAAAGATAGCAGAGATATGCATGTTTTATAACCAACAATTGTAATTGATTATTGAATTGCTTATTTAGGAATTGAACTATGTACAAATCATTGTTATGCACAACCGTGTTTCCTGCCAAATTATGCCGATATAGGCACTGACTATTTTATGATTGTTTAAATTAAAAGAAAAAAAGAAAATAATGAGCGATTTGACCACACCAAATGACACCTTGTTTTTAAGTTCATTTTTGCAAGCAGTCAGTGAGACTTTTACATTGTCACAAAAGATTTCTGTTTCAAATAAATGCTGTTCTTTTAAACTTTACACTCATCAAATAATCCTGGAAAAAATGTATTACAGTTTCCATAAAAATATTAAGCAGCACCACTGTTTTCAACATTTCTTAAGCAGCAAATGGGCATATTAAAATGATTTCTGAAAACTCATGTGACACTGAAGACTGGAGTAATGATGCTGAAAATTCAGTTTGCGTCAAGAATGAATTAAATTTGAAAATATTTTTAAATAGAAAGCACATTTTAAATAGTAAAAATATTTCACAATTTTTATTTAGTTATTTCTTTTTTTTCTTTTTTTTTTTCTTCTTCATGGAAATTCATGTTTCAGGACCCCTGTGACTTTTTCTGTTAACTTTGTTATGTATTCAATGTGCTCCCCATTGTAAGAGACCGCAGGGTTGTAGAGGGAGGGTGGGGGGAGGGAGGGCTGGATGATGTTGAATTGAGATGTTACATTGTTTTCATTCTGACTTGTTTGCTAATAAAAAAAGAAAAAAGAAAAAACATTTTTTCACAATATTGCTATATTTTATATTACACACACACACACAAACACACAGGGCTGCAGCTAATAGTTGTGGTGCACAAAATATATTTTAATAGTTCATTTCAATGCTCTTTAGCCATTGTAAACATTGTGTAAACATGCTGCTGTGGTTTTGGTTTTCTCTAATGTGCTTTGCTGATTGGGATCAACTGACAGCAGGAACTTGACAACTGAAGCACAATGTGACATCATGTTTCTCAGCCGATCAATGTGTCTTCCCGCCTGCTATAAATAAAAAAACTGGCGCCTTTGTGCCCCTGTGGGCTTATCGGATCAAGTGACTCATGGGACATCTTGCCACTGTCTGCTTCATTTCTCTCTCTAAGCCCCTCTTACCTCCTCACTCCACTGTTCTGTGTCCCGCACCCCTCCCTCTCTTATACACCATGCAGAACAACATGGTGCCATCTAAGGGCCTGTGTCAGAACTACTCATCACTTCAGTCTGAAACATGTCCTGCTTGTGAGTCAAAACAGCACTAAAAAGCTTTGTGCCTGGTTGACACACAATGGCTTGTGCTGCAAATATACATGGGGGAAAACGGCTAAAATGTTCTTTCTCTAGACAAAAAAATACATATTTACCTTTTAAACAAAATAAGCTTCATGGCCTATAAAGACACAATTATGGATGTCACTAACAATTATTTTGGTAATCGAGTAATTGGTTGATTATTCTGACGATTAATCGAGTAATCAGATTATTTTTTTGGTGGTAATAAAAATAAACCTAAGTGAACAATAGACTTTAAAATGACTTAAAATACATATATAATAGCAATGAGGCAATAATAATTTGTTCAAATAAGATATCAAGATATAAGATATAATCATATCAAAAGCAAGTAATCATATGATTTTAATGAAAGAAAAAAAACAGTTAAAATACATAATATAATAAAACAATTATAACTTATGGGCATTATGTATTATATCAAATGCCTGCAGAGGGTGCCAACAGCCTCACAAATGTCTTTACACTTTACCGCGCGATCTAATCCTTGTTTGATATTGACCAAACAACATATAATTCAAATGTCCACTTAATCTTTAATATTTGGCCCCTTATTTATTATAGAAATGAAACAGCCACTGTCCTTTCTTGAACAAGAACGTGGACATCAGAACATACAAACTCAGTGAGAGGGTGCGCGATGAACAGTTAGCATATTGAGAAATATGTTGGCATAGGTTTATAAATTATTTAAAATCTGATAAAACGCTGCACATTGTTCCCAGATGAACATTATAAGCAACTCAGACCCACAGCATTTCCAGA